GATGAGACAAGTTGAGAAAATTTCCATCAGCCCAAAGCGGAAGCTCTCTATTGCGTCGATGAGATTATTCGCGCCAACTGCAGGGGAAATGCAAAGCAGGGAGAGTACCTGAACGAGTGGCAATGGAGGAATAAAAAATTAAAACGAATCCATCCGGCTAATGAGTTGGAGCTTCAGCCTGGCCCGATTAGACTCAACCCCCGCCATCCCCCAGACCTCGTTAGTCATCTGAATTATTTTAATGCAAATCTGGGGCGAGCAATTGCATGTCTCCGTTATTCAGTCGCGATATATAGTATCGTGATACCGGGAAAGTTTATCGATGAGTTTCCCTTTCGGGGGCTGAGAGAATTCACATGACCCCGGGCTGTTTTTCCGAACGATAATGCGCGCACAAGGAGAAGTTTGGAGGGTAGACTTGGATCGGGAGTTTGGAAGTTCATGGGGGGGATGAATAAATGTCAATTCATCGTTTGTGGTAATTCTTTCAGAGTTTCAGGATTTTCCAGGATATTTATAGGCGCAAGGAATATTTTATAAAATATTCGAGGGTAAAGTATTGATGGGATTCGTGGTAATTGTGAGGAAAAGAAATCGAGAATTTTAGAAGTCAATTTCAGTGTGCGAATCAAATATTCTATTAATTTTCTGTTCAAATGATCTGAGCATCAACAAAATACTTGATTTTTCAGTTCAATTATTCTGTGAAAATTCAGAAAAATCAGGAAATTTCAGGGAAAAATTGTAAATTCTTGTCATTTTGGTTCTGAATATTCATGTTCCACTGAAAATTCAATCAAGTTCAAATAAATTAAGAAATTCTCGTCTTTACGCTGCTCAAAGTTCTGGAATTTTATTGAATTTTCAGTGATTCCTGAAATTTCATGATTTTCGTTCCAACAGTTCAGCAGGAAAATTGGAATTTCTCAGTTAACTTTAATGTTTAATGAGGATATAAATATTCTGTATGAAATGACCCAGAATTTTCAAATCATTTGTATAATTCTCGTCTTCCTGCCGCTCAAACAATTGAAATTCCATAGAATTTCAAATAAAATTAAAAATTCAATCATTTTTCCCGCCTAAATCAAATTCAATACAGCCTCCTCAAAATTACACCGAAATATCAAAATTTTGTGCCAGCCAACTGCATTTTTAGAATGCCTTATGAGTAATGGGTAAATGTATCACGCTGCGAGTGCTTTGATGCTGCATCAAAGTGAAAGAATGAGAGGTTTCATCATCTTTTCAGCTAGCCTAGAGGATGCTACAGTGAGGATGTAATATACTTTCCGCTGTTCTTCCTTTGCACACCATAGCTGGAAATAAGAGGTTTAAAGACCACCTGTTCTAACCCAGTTAAAAGTAAAAGCCCGAGCAAGAACACTGCACACAATAGGGGATAGAAATGCGAAAGCCCTGACAAAAATCGAAGATTTTATTTTCCCATTACTTTGGCCATTTTCAAAAATACAACAACGAAGGAACAAAAATACGTAACAACGTGCCACACCACCTGTGATACTCACACGGCGATGACTGCATTCCACATCCGTGAAATAATGCGGTATATTAATTGATTCATGCATATTGATTGCGAATATTCCGGGGAAAATAAAAAATGAGAAGATGAAAATGGGGAGAGGGCTTTGTCCCTTTGCTGTTGTCCAACAGCCAATGGAAACTGACGCGGTATTACATCCACCGAATCGAAAACCACGTTCGGTTTTTGAAATGTATGAACACACTGAGGGCCATTGTACCAACGTTAAAACCCAGTCTGAGTTTTGCCATGTGGTTTCCACTCGTTAGCTTGGGTTTCGGCGAGGTTTCATTGAAAATTGTTGCGGCGGAATCGTGAATTTTCGAGACTAAAATTAGTTCTCTCAAAAGGTTGGATGGGAGGTGTAGTATTTCATGGGTGATTGTCTTCGGGAGATGTGTGAGTTGAGTGTTCGTGGATATTGCGAGAGGAATGAGAGTGATGAATGGAATTAGTAATTTTTTACGTGCGCGACAGAAAAGAGAGATGAGGGAGTTTTAGAAAGACATGGCTAGGATTCTGGAAGACGATTACGCAGGATTTGCGAGTGTTGGCACAACCTCGGGGGAAGGTTGGCTGCAAACATTGGCCCAAAAAGTGTACAGTGTTTGTCCCAACCTCAATAATACAGAATTAGCATTCTGAGAGACGATAGGGCGATATTTGCGAGTGTTGGCACAACGTTGGGGGAAGGTCGGCTTCAAGAATTGGCCCAATATTGGCGATCAAGCTTCAACTGAAGCTACACCCAACAATATCATCACTTCTACGTGTGTTCAGCAGTGGATCCCACACTAAATCTGATCCTCTACCTCCGCAATTAATCTCAGGATAATCTTGGCAAAGTAGTAGCTAGCCAATGTCCTCCAGGACTGGGTCTGACCCACGTCTGATAGGTCCTCTACATAAATTACGACGAGCCACAAGTCTTGGCCCACTATTGGCCCAATGTCGGCAGCCGAGTTTCAATTAAATTAAACGATTGACATTCTTCAGAAAATAAATTTAGAAAATATGATCCTCTCCACGAACTACCACCTACTCCCGACATCTCCGTCAAATTATTCGGCGCAAATTAACAAGTTTCATCTCGATTACTGATGCATACATGAATGTATCTCAACCCCAGATATAGCCCTACATAATCACCAATTATACTGGTGAATCCACGTAAACCAGTTTATGCTTCAGCTACTTTGATGTGCCCCACAATCTTGACTCCCCCGCTGAACTCATCTATAAACTCTACGAATTAGCCATCATTCTCTGCTGCAAACTCCGAACCAAAAGCTTAATTACCAGCTGCAGGCACCAATAATTCCCGGCTAATTATTCCCATCAAAATTTGCCGAACCAATATTTTCCGAACTATCAACAAAAACTTTGAGACAAGTTAATATCTTGTTTGAAATGCTACGAAACTCTGACGTTGTGTTGAAACTAGTGAGTATGTGTGACAGCTTTCGCCGAAACTCCGATATGTCCCACCTAAACTCTTGGTCTACCAAGCTTGCCTAGAGGCAAGTCCGTGGGACTTGGTTATAACCGTAGGACCGGTAATTGCTGGGATAGAAACACGAACGAGTAGAAGCCTACTTGCGGCGCTTCTCGTGGTCCACCGCATTGCTTCCTGATCCCCGAGAAACTTCGCGGGAGGGATTTCCACCCCCAACTCCATCTATTTCTCAGGGCCACACCACTTATCGTTCAAAGTTTCATGGAGACATTTGAAACCGTCTCAGCTAACTTGGCAGGGGACTAGGTGAGAAATTCACCGGTTGGTGAATTCATTATCCCGGAAACTAATGTTCAAGTTTGTTTATTCACTGGGTAACAATAGCCATCTGTACTTGAAATTTCTCCCATGAAAAGCCGTCATTCGTGCAGAGGGAGAGTAAGCTGTAGGATTTTTTTCTGAAGATAACTATCGGCGTTTATTTAAACTGTACGAAACTTGATGATTGATTTGACATCGCGTGTGATGATCTAATGATACTCCGAGAGGAGTTCGAGAGGAGAATGAACAGATGCACGTCAAAAGGCAATTTTAAAATGTCAGAAGAGGTTGAGTTTATTAGATTGAAGTGTGAGATGAGAAGTGTTTGGGTATTGGGTGACAAAGAGTGCACAGAGAGAGGTAGCTGCGACAGTGAGAAAACGAAGAAAGAAATTAGAGGATGTTGAGACGAAAATATTTGGAAATGAGTCAATAGTCGATGAGGAGACAATGATCTTACGATCCTACAATTTTAAAAAAAGGAGAAGGAATTTTGCTTGAAGAAAAATAATGTTTCTTTTCCGAGGAATTAATAATGAACGCAATAACTTTCACCCATCAACCCATGATGGTATAACTTCGAACAGGGAAATCTTAGATGTTGTAATCAACGTACATGAACTCCGATAAGAACAATAAAGTGCTTCGTCTCAAGTGTCTGAGGCGAAGTAGATCCGTATCCACCTGAACAAGAGCACTCCACTTCCATTGAAATAGGCGAAACACTAGAAGGTAATTCAAACTCGGAATCATCTATTATTGGACGAAGATAACTGTGAATTGCTTGGGAAAGGCCATGTGCACAGTACTATGTACTGGGTCACGCTTATCATTGATATTACGCTGATCCTGTTTATGAACAGCACCTGAAAGTTTCGCATCGCTTCTTATCGGGACCTATTGCTCAATCAGCTTAAGCTTACTAGCGGGGTTTACTTATGCAAGTGGTCCAATTGATATTCCATAGCCCCTCGTCTGGATCATAAACTGCAGGAAGCGCTGAACCACAGAGATTGCAAGTGCTGCCAACAAAGTGTGGTTTCTACTGAAAAAGGAAGGCAAGGCTTCGTCACGAACGTGCTGAAGATGTTATTACCCGAGACCTTGCACTTCAACGGGCTCAGGAGGTGGGGGATGACGTCGTTCTGATGGAGATACTGATACCGCTTCCGCAAAGGACCGGACGATAATGAAGTCATGGGGTATAGGAAAGTTCGTAACGAGATGACGCGGGTTAATTGATGAGTTAAACCACGTAAAAGTAGCCATTTGGATCCCGTAGGAGTGATAATATTGGGCCGAGCTTGGCTGCCGACATTGGGCCAAGATTTGTAGCTCAGGAAATTTTCATGATGGACCATAATTGAGCTACTATTTCGCCAATATTAGCTGACATCTGTCCAAAATGATAGCATTGAGCCGAATATTGGGTTGCCAACACTTCGCCGAGGTTAAGCCGAGGTTACATTCTTGAAACTTTAGAGTTAAAATTCAAATTCGGTATCAAGTTTAGTACTAAACATACTTGAAAGTAATAACATCGGGCAAACGTTGGTTGCCAACATTGGGCCAAGACTTGTGCGCTCGATGCCAAGACAGCCAGTTCTGGGTCAAAATTACGTCAATGTTGTACAATTCACGTGAGGATGAGAGAGTATGAAAAATTTAAAAAAATCAAACCTCGGTCCAACTCTGGCGTGCCGATCTTCACGTTCTGACGGACTGACCAAAGCACGGTCTCCACTCACAAGCATTAATCACTCGTTACTCCAGTCCTAGATACACAATTCTTCGTCGAATCCTCGCCAACCTTCCCCCAGTGCTGCGCCAACACTTGGACAAAAAACGGAGGCCAGCATATTATCCGCCGAGACCTTTCGTTTCAGCCTTCTCAGGAGGTGAGGGTTGACGTCAATCCTAAAAAAATGTGATAATTAAGTCATGGGTAAAGGGTAACTTAGAGCTCCGTAACGACATGCCACCGGCTACTTTATGGATCAGAACGGTTGGAAAAATTTATCTTGATAAAAAATTCGCAAATGTCAGATGTCAGAAAAAGAGTGATTTCTCGAAGTTCACAGGAAGGATAATGTCTTCTATACTTATTACCTCAAGGTAATAAAAAAAACAATTTCGATGAACTTTCCCTGGGTTTTGAACCGTAAAGATGATAAAATTATGTACTCACCGTTGGCTATCTGATCCATAAAATCCCCCGGCTGTCTGGTGATTCATAACTTTATGCACTTCCATGAATTAAAAAATTTCAAGTAATGCACTATTAATTAAAGGATAAATCTCCTAGAGAGATAATGCTGTATTATGTAGGTGGAAGTTACATGTAAGCACGAATAGTTGTGTACGTGTTCATGAGATTAGCCGGGGTATGCAGTGTGTTTGGCCCGGCAGTCGTTACTCGACGGAAGTACCAATGTACATGCATACGATGGAAGCGAATAGAGACAGATTGTGCTGGCATATGCATCTAGACGGTATTACAGCCCAATGTACTACTTCCGGATATAGCTGACGCTGGTGAGTCAATGGTGACAACTTGACACATTCTCATAATCAATTAGCGTTTCCGGGGTTAATTAGAATGCTTATGAGGGGTCAATTGAGCAAATGAAACTATTGTATTTTTAAACATCGAAAATAGGATCTTAAGACTGAAAATTCTTGTAGCCAAGGTTGCCCCGGGGTTCGCCCAACACTTGATGATGAACTTACTTCCGAGGCTGGGGCATTACTTGGCAACTTAGCTTGACTTCGCATAGCGTTTGGCGAATACTGGGGCAATTCTGGCTCATTCCTCGTCACCAGGGTTGTGCCGGTGTTCGCCCAACACTTGATGATGACCTTAGTTTCGAGGCTGGGGGCATACTTGGTAACTGAGGTTGGCTTCCACTAGGTCGACTAGGTGTAAATATAAGAGAAAGACTTGCCAACGTTGGGGGAATACTGGGGCAATTCTGGCTCATTCCTCATCCCCAGGGTTGTGCCGGTGTTCGCCCAACACTTGATGATGACCTTAGTTTCGAGGCTGGGGCCATACTTGGTAACGGAGGTTGGCTTCCACTAGGTCGACTAGGTGTAAATATAAGAGAAAGACTTGCCAACGTTGGGGGAATACTGGGGCAATCCTGGCGTACTCATTTCTCATCACCTGCATTGATTAAAATGCTTATGAAGGGTTAATTCAGTGAGGGAGATGATTATATTTTTAAACATCGAAAATAGTATCTAAAGTGTTAGAATTCTTGCGGCCAAGGTTGCCCCGGGGTTCGCCCGACACTTGATGATGAACTTCTGAGGCTGGGGCATTACTTGGCAACTTAGCTTTCGAATACTGGGCAATTCTGGCTCATTCCTCATCACCAGGGTTGTGCCGGTGTTCGCCCAACACTTGATGATGAACTTAATTTCGAGGCTGGGGCCATACTTGGTAACTGAGGTTGGCTTCCACTAGGTCGACTAGGTGTAAATATAAGAGAAAGACTTGCCAACGTTGGGGGAATACTGGGGCAATCCTGGCGCACTCATTTCTCATCACCTGCATTGATTAAAATGCTTATGAAGGGTTCATTCAGTGAGAGAGATGATTATATTTTTAAACATCGAAAATAGTATCTAAAGTGTTAGAATTCTTGCTGCCAAGGTTGCCCCGGGGTTCGCCCGACACTTGATAATCGAGTTTGGCCCAGTATAGGTACACCAGAGCAATCTTGGCTCATTCCTCACCTCCAACGTTAATTAAATCATTTACGAAGGGTCAATTGGGCGAGGGAGGCTATTGTATTTTTAAACATCAACGCTACGATTAAAAGAATAAGTGAGTGCCTGATAAATGAGAGTAAATAGAGGGTACAAAGGATACCAGAGCCTTAAGGGAAATAAAAAAGTTTGTAATCTAAACCCAGCCGGATTGAACATGTTTTTTCTCTAATGCTGAAAGCCATTTGTTTTTACGTTTTTCAAAGGCGATTGATTTATCGTTGAATCGTGTGCTCCCCACACTGACCGAGTGAAGCTTCGAATAACCTGTTACACCTTTTCCCTCCCCCGCCCTATTGCCGCGCCGCTGACTGATCGGTGAAGGGCATTAACTACTTGCTGAGCCCTTGAACTGTGTAATAATCGATTTAATGAGAAAATCTATTGACGGATGTTAAGTAAAAAGTTACGGGGTGTGATATATGTCGGTGGGGGGTTTTATTTTTCGTCCCATAAATGTCAGTCTGGTGATGGGTATTGAGGAAGATTCATGGATGCGTTTAAATGAATATTTAATAAATCGGATGGAATATTTTATGAATGTAATATCGAAATGGATGGGAGGGATTTAATGAGATTGCAACGACGGATGGCTTTGAGGAGACAGCAATGGCGGGAATCGACGTAATTTATTTTCCGTTCGCGTCGGGGTTCTATTAGAAACGCTCCCGGAAGTTGTGGGGGGAGGGAGAGTTAGGCCAGTGTTCCGCCAACATGGACAAGCAGTGGTTTAAAAGTAATGATGTTTGGTCAAGCTTGATTGCCTGTTCTGAAAATAACTCTGAGGGAGAATGGGTCGCCAGCACTGCGCCGAGGTTCTGCCGACATTGCGCTATTAGAGTCAAAAGGTTGGCCGAGGTTCAAATTTGCTTTCTGATCTGCTATTAAACATATTCGGGAGTGATGACATCGGGGCAAGCTAGGTTTTCAAGCGTCAGCTTTAGCCCGTTGAAGGTTGGCTGCCAACATTCGGCCAACGCTTGATCCAAATCTTGACTGAATCTTCTGTTACTCGTAGTTCGACTTGAAATATCTTCCGAAAATGAAGTAGAATTAAATAAAATGATTCTTGGCCCAACACTGGGCCGACACTGGGCGCTCTAGCTTCGTTCCCTGTCCTGACTCCAAGATTGATTCAATGATGATGAACAAGACTCTCCAATGGTGGCGAAAAGAGTAATGACGTTTGGTCACACTTGATTGCCAGTTTTTGAACTAACTCTGAAAGAGAATAGGTTGACAGTACTGCGCCGCGGTTCTGCCGACATTGCACGACTAAAATAAAAAAATTGGCAGAGGTTCAAATTTGGTTCCTGATCTGCTATTAAACATATTCGGGAGTGATAACATCGGGACAAGCTCGATTTTCAAGTGTCGGCTCTAGCCCGTCGAAGGTTGGCTGCCAACATTCAGCCAACTCTTGATCGAAATCTTGACTGGATCTTCCGTCACTCGTAATTCGACGTGAAATATCTTTCGAAATGATCAATTAGAATTAAATACGATGACTCTTGGCCCAACATTGAGCCGACACTGAGCCAACCTTGGGCCAACACTGGATTTTTCGGCGCTCGTAATTTCAATTATTCAATTCTTGAAGTTTAGATATTCCCAACATTCCGTCTCTCACCCAATGACAAATGTTCAAACTCAAATAACACTTATGACACGACATTCTGGTGTCCAATTACGTTTGTCAAGTCCATAGAGTGTGCTTCGGTCGGCGAGACTAAAAAGAGGTGCAGGGGTATATAGAACATTGGTAACTGGGGTTTCCCGGTGCTGCGAGCTCCAGCAAACACGGCCGAGGTGAGAGCGAGAGGGACAACCGGTGGAGAACGGGGGAGAGGCACGACGCAGCCGGAGCAGAGGGCAAGGGATGACGAGGGTGGATAGAGATGGGCGGAAGGTATATATACGGAGAGGAACATGTTGGGATGGGAGCACAAGTTGCGTGGGATGAAATCAATAATACACCTCCATTCAAAGCTCGTGCTGGTGTCTCCACGGCTTTACCAACTCCCCCGGATATCCTGTGTTGTTTCGCGCTGCATGAATGGAGTTTTAAAAACTCATATTGTCTCGTTACACCGTTTTTCGTATCTCTAGTCTGAATAATTTTATTAAAATTGTCATTTTCTGCCGGGCGAGCTCTCCAATTTATTCAAATTGTTGATATCAACTCTTCTAGGTGGTATTTATGCTTTCAACAAATTAGAGATATTGTCTTTTGTTCAGGAACTATTGTACTTATCTGTAGACTCATTGCGATGTCTTGGAAACTTGGCGAGGAATGAATTTCGTAAAAGAAAAGTTTTTCTTCTGTCTCTTGACAACTGCTGGGTGAAATTGTTCGTTTATAATTTGGGAGAAAATACCTGTCTTCAGTGACACTAATAACAGCCGCATCAATTTACCAGACGAGAATGTAATTTCTCATTCATCAGGGACAGACGTTCTTTGTAATATAAAAAATGATAACTGCGGCAATTCCCCAAGAACATAATTGTTTTCATACGAAGGGTCAAGTCCATAAATAGAGTTTTAAAAACTCATTGTCTCGTCACAGCTCTTTTTATCCTTCTAGTCCGAATAACTTTATTCATTTAAATTGCTAATATCATTCTTAATATCCACTTGCGGAAAGTGATATTTATGTTTCGGACTAGTTAAAAATGTTTTTCTTTGTTCAACAATTGTTCTCTTCGTCTCAAGACTCATCACGACGTCTTGAAAACTTGGCGAGGAATGAATTTCGTAAAAGAAAAGTTTTTCTTCTGTCTCTTGACAACTGCTGAGTGAACTAAGTTGTTCGTTTATAATTTGGATTTTTAATACCTATCTTCAATGAGAAATGTTAAAAATGATGAATTAATGCGGTGATTTTCCAACAATTGTTTTTAAGCGACTAATCGAGGGAAAATGGCTCGGAACAGAAGTCGATTCGATTACTGAAAGTTCCTCGCGTCTCGTTCTAACGGGAAATTGTTAGACTGAGGGAGTCTGGTGTCAACGCCAACACCTGTGGGCTACATTCGTGCTCGAGTGTAATAATTGGAATCGCGCGCACAAGCACGATTTTACGTTATTCCTCGTACCATTATGGGAAAACATTCGGAACTTTCGAGTTGGCATGCGTGGCT